ATGCCCTGTATACCCGCCCGACATGCCCGTAACGGCGATGCACACACCCAGAGGGTTGATTCACATGAACGTGGTGCCTCAAGGTTGGACGAATGCARTAGCGATGGTGCAGAGGCATATGATCAGAGCCATGCAGACGGTCAGCCCACATGTCACCCATCCCTATATCGATGACCTGGCGGTCAAAGGTCCGAAGGAGAAAGAGGAAGACGAAGTGATGCCCGGTGTGCGSCGTTTTGTCTGGAAGCATGTCCAARACATCGATCAGGTTCTGGGGTTATTGGAGGAACATAACCTGACGGCGAGCGGCCCCAAGTCGAAACACTGTATGAGGGAGGCCACGATTCTGGATTTTGTCTGTAATGAGAGTGAGCGAAGGCCTGACGTAAAGAAGACAGACAAGATTCTTGAGTGGCCGGTGCCCTTCCGCTCGATAACGGATGTGGGGAGCTTCCTTGGGACATGCGGGTTTTGGAGGAGCTTCGTGAAGGACTTTGCCACGAAGACGGAACATTTAAGGAAGTTTGTGCGTCAAGATCAGGAATGGGTCTGGGGCGAGGACYAGGAAGAGGCGGTTGGTAGGATGAAGGGAGAATTTAAGGAAGGGGGCTTGGTATTGRGAGCGCCAAACTATGAGGCCACGGAGCAAAGGCCATTCGTCATTGAGACGGACGCTGGGCCAACTGCCTTAGGAGGAGTCCTGATTCAGGCAGACACTGAAGGGAAGGAGAGGCCGCTAAGGTTCGAAAGTCGCACTCTCAATACAACTGAGAGGAACTACTCTCAGTTCAAGAAGGAGACACTGGCGGTACTTCATTGCCTGAGGATCTTCCGAAACTATGTTTTCGGCAGGAGGCTCATTTTGAGGGTGGACCCCACTGCACTTGCATGCTCCCTTAAAAATTACACTCCATCTGACCCAACCGTCGCAAGATGGTTGACCTACATTTGGATGTTTAATTTCGAGCTGGAAAGGATTCCAGGGAACAAGAACAGGGCGGATGGGTTAAGCCGCATCAACTGGGACGGATCGGACGAGGAATCGATAGAAGACGCCCCATCAGTTGATGGGTTTTTGGACCAAGAGGAGGACGTCCGCCTGCATATAAACGAATGGTCCCTGCGAGTACCCAGTTGCGTCAGCCACCCTATATGGTTAGCGCCAAAGGGGTACGAGCAGAAGGTAGAGTTGGTCCTTAAGCCTTTTCAGGAGGAGGATCCGTGGGGGAGCAAGGATGTTGGTTGGATGATGAAATTGGCATTGGTAGGAACGCACAGCCTGGTGGAGGAAATGAGGACGATAGAAGAAGGCCCCACTCAGGTAGAGGAGCATGAGCAGCTAATGGGAGGGATGTACCTGCTCACCAATACTCTCCTGCAAGGAGACTTTGACCGGAAGGGCGCGTTCAGTCATGAGGAAAATGAGATTCTAGTTCCTGAAAGCCAGGCCGACGAATTCGAGGAAGGAGAAATCAAGGAGGCATTTCGGGCGGAGGAGTACGATGGGATCTACCGGGAATTGGGGTTGCTCCTATCATGTGAGATGAGGGATAGAGATGCAAGTGCCAAGRCACAGAAGATGAGGCACCTCTATGTGGTAAGAGATGGCCACTTGTCTATAAAGCGGCAGGTCGGGAACCCCAAGAGGATCATATATGGGAGGAACCGACAAATTGATATCATAGCAGCCCTACACGATGGTATAGCGGGGGGGCACAGAGGAGTAGGTGCCACATGTGCGAAGATAAGCGATCTCTATCATTGGGACGGGATGCTGGCGATGGTTATCAAATACTTCCGGTCCTGTATACCTTGCCAAGAGAGGTTAGTGCAAAGGCCTGGAGAGCCCCTACACCCAAGGTTGGAAAGAGAAATGGGTGCGGTCGTACACTTGGACCTGTTATTCATGCCAGCAGGGGAGAATGGGTGTAACTACATCTTCGATGCACGGAATAACCTTATTGGGTTTGTGGACGGAAGAGCTATCCGGACGAAGACCGGACCGGTTTTGGCGAACTGCATCGAGGAGTATTACCTGCGATATCCTTTTGTCAAAGAGTTCGTGATGGATCGAGGATCAGAGTTTACCTGCAATGAGGTCAGGACGTTGCTTGCAGGGTATGGCATAGTGGCCAACTATACTACGGCCTCGCACCCTCAAGCGAACGCTCCTGTGGAGAGGGGACACAGTACCATCACGAATCTTCTGGCTAAGTGGACAGACGGCAAGCCTGGTCAGTGGCCAAAGTTCCTAAGGACAACTTTCTTCGTGGAAAATGTTACTGTAATGAGGACTACCAAGTACGTGCCAGCCACACTATGGTATGGGAGGCACGCCACCTTTCCCATATAAAGCTTTATGAAGACGTGGAGACGCCAAAACTTGGAAGTAAACCTATCCTTCAAAGAACTACTCGATATTCGGGCGCGGCAAGTGGGGGCGGCCGAAGAAAGATTGCGAGAGACCGCTGGTCAGGTAGAAAGGAGTCGCATGGAAGATAAGATGAGGTGGGACCAGATGGCGCGAGTAAGGAAGGAGCCATTGGCAGTAGGGGATGTCGTATTACTGTACTACTCCTCTTTGGAAAAACAATGGTCGAGGAAGCTTGACAAGAGATGGTTGGGCCCCTATAGAATCTTGCGATGCGGCGAATTTGGGGCCTATCAGATCGAGGAGTTGGATGGGACAGGCTGGCAGGACTGGGTATCGGGGACCAGGCTGAAGAAGTTTGTGGCCAGGGAATAGGTAAAGAATACTACCTTCCTCAGAGGGAACTAGTCCTTAAGGTGTTGCATGGTATGATTAGGACAGGTGAAGGAGTAGGAAAAGGCATGTGTGTTGTCATAAAAACCTGATGAACCAAGGGCTAACCTTGTTCTGTGCCTGCTTGCTTTCTCTCGCCTGTTGTGCAGGTCTGACTTTTCGAAGACAGCCATGCAGAGGGGCGGGAGGGGCGCGCGGCMACGATAGAGGCCTCAGGGAGCATCAGGAGGGGATGACTCGCGCAGACCGTTTGGGAGGGAGCCTACGTCTATCTTCGACGACAATAACACAGAGCTTTTTCTGGACTCCTACCAGACACATGCGGCACGGGAGGGCTGGTCTACCTTGGAGAGGATATGGCACCTGAGGGGAGTTGGGCATTTTGAGGAGCCTATTGCGCATATCCGGGAGGAGGCTTTGACCTGGCAGGATGTGGAGGCGAGGATGCAGATGTTGAGGGCTTCGCCGTTGGGACCGGATGGGCTGCCTATTCGATTGGAGGAAGGCAATGTGGAAGAGTTCATCCCGGCCTATGAGCAGTATATGAGCGACCAGGGGACTGGGCAGGAGGAGTGGATGCAGACGCTGCCCCTCTGGACGCGGAGGGCGGAGAGGCCGTTGGCGAGGCAGATCCGGGACAGGGCACGCGACTGGGAGGACTGCCAGGCCCAGTCGAGACAGGCATTTCGACGATTGGAGCCTGAGAGACCAGAGCCCAGGGTGGAGAGACGACAGAGGAGTAAGAGGGCACGAGGCCCAGAGGCGAGAGGGGCCATTACGACCAGAGGGGGCCAGCGGAGGCCGCCCAGGCGGTGGAGCCAGTTCAGGTCGCGGGGCCAGCTCAGGCGGCGGAGCTACCCCCTACTCATGGACTCGAGCGGGTGGAGTTTCGCCGGATCGCGGGCAGTGATCTACGGGGCCCGTCGCCGACATTACCAGAGGAGGGAGAGGTTGTGCCATTGAGGACGCCACTCGACAGGTTGGAGGCTCATCTCGGTGCGTCCCAGTGGGGGGCATCACAGCTGGGAGCGGACCAGAGCGGGCCGGCACGGTATGAGTCAGTAGAGGATGAGCCAGAGGAGGAGCTACCTGAGCCGGGGCCTGAGGCGGGGTCTCGCGAACCCAGGAAGCCGCAGACTGAGGGGGTTATCACTGTTGGGGATGATACCCCTCCTCCTACCCCGATTCCGGAACAGGCATGACAGTATTGGCCTGAAGGAATTCCTGAGCTGGACAGCGAGGAAATGTTGGGGCCTCCATCGGAAACTACTACGCCACCTCCGACGCAGGCGGAGCCAGAGGAGGGCGAGGGAGCGAGGACACCTACGACTATGGTACCACATCTAACTGAGCCTACAGGTGAACGCATGAATGTGGAGGTGCCGACATCCGGGGAGCCTCCGCCAGGGCCGCCACCCATAGAGGAGGGGACGAGTGAGAGAGACCCATTGCGAGAGGCCCATGAGGCGCGGGCAAGGAGGCCATCAGGGGAGACGAAAGAAGAAAAGCGCGCGAGAGTGCAGGTACGCCTCGAGGAGTTATACCAGGAGAAGCTTAGGATGGAGGCCGCAGGAGAACCCCCAAAGCCGCAAATTGACCCTCCGACGAGGGAGCAGCGGATTAGCGAGGCTTGGGCCAGTTATGAGAGAGAGGGATGCTGCTCGCCTGAGGTCGCGAGAGGTAGGACAGGAGAGTGCGAGGGTGGACGAGGCACGAGAAACAGAGGACTTGGGATTTTCAGCCGCCAGGATGGAGATTGAGCGTGCAGACAAGAGGATAGGTGAGGTGGCGATCTCGTCCTTCCAACGGTACTCCATGCTCAACGATGAGTTGGCGGCCTCGAAGTTAGAGGTGGGACAGTTGTCCACCCAGTTGGCAGAAGAGAGGGCAGAGAACCAAGCATGGAGGTCCCGTATGGAAGTCAAGGAAGCGGAATGGGAAAAGAGGCTCCAGGACATGGCGGCAATGGTAGAGAGGCTCTCGGCCACTAAGGTGGTTGACTGGACGGAGCAGAGCCGGTATGGTATCCAGGGGAAGGAGGTACAAGGGCTCTTTGGCCAGGAAGGAACAATAGAGACGGCACAGCAAAAGGGAATGGGAAAGGTATTCCTGGACCCAACAGAGGCGGCGGGAAGGCGGGAGGCCGAGGAGAGGAGGTTCAACTTCAAGACTCCCACGGAATTGGCCTCGCAACAGGCCACCGCTATGACGTTTGAGGTTCCTGGGGAAGAGCTGGCGCAGAGACCCCAACCTCCAGTGGCGGAGGGGGGCCCGACAGAGGAGTCCCCTACGATCCTTTTGGAGGTGCCGGAGGGTGCCCTTGCGGGAGTAGCAGCATCCACTGAGCCGGAGGCAATGGGGGGAGAGGCGTCTCGACTGGATGAGTTAGTGGCAGCCATGGAGCTGGACATGCCGTCAGGAGGGCCTCAGAGACAGGAGACCCCGGAGCGCGTGCCAGAGATAGGAGAGTTGAGGACGCGGTTGGGCTCTTGGGCCACTGGGACTGACTCAGGAGAGCACATCTCAGAGCAGCAGCAGGAAGTTATGAGCGAGCCAGCGATTGCCGTGACTCCCCAGCCTTCTGACTTGCATAGGAACGAGGGGGCGACTGCGATGGGAGTCCGCGAGGGTAGGCCACTGAGATTGGACACTCCAGCGTACCGACCCGAGGGAGATGAGATGTTAGCAGGGCCGAGTACCTAGATGATGGACGCAGGGACGGCAGAGTCATGGAGTATGCCCCAGAGTCACGAGATGAGCAGGGAAACTAGCGAGACGCCGCCGTTGCCTGGGTCCCAGAAGAGGAAGAGGAGG